GAGTCTGGTTGTTTCAACGCAGAGAGAGAGAGAGAGAGAGAGAGAGAGAGAGAGAGAGAGAGAGAGAGAGAGACAGAGCAACAGACAGACAGAGAGATGGAAACGAAAGAAGTTTGAAGACTGAACTCAGCGTCACGCACGATTGATCAAACCTTTGTGACCAGAGTGCTTTGGCTGAAAAATGGATAAAACTCAACTGAGTTTTCGAAACAACTTTAAATGTAAATCTAACTGTACATAAGTTAACATTTTAGTGCGCATGTTTTGCTTTGGCTTTGGGTGAGGAAATTAATTATGTGAATTGAGAAATACTTGAACTAGCCTAAACCCTTGCTCAATACACTGTCTCTGAACGCGGATTTTTTTCGAAGGTGAAGGTTAAAGTGCATTGCCATCGTCTGTTTCCGACAAGATTACTCTAAATAGGTCAAATGTGTCCGATGCTTCACTTTGCTCGTTGTGAAGTTTTATAAGAGTAGAAACGCAATTCTTAAGTTGTCAATACACAGCAAACTCAAATCTAATTTAAAACATTTAAAATTTGATTTAACACAAAGAGTTGGTTACGCAACCCACACCACCACCGGTATAATAAACGAAGCAGACTATTGGCTTGTCTTTCCTCTGTCAGACTCTAGGTGGCGCTGGTGACTGTAGCGGTAGTTGTTGTAGCGGACTGAAGGTGACCCAGAGGTAAACTTAGCTCTGTGATAGTGCTCTGAAAAGTAACGCTCTACACCAAGCTGTGCCGACGTCCTTGTTATTTGCAAAAATGAATATCAAGATCTCACAGGCTGCCCTGGCTACGGCCTTTTTATTATCAGTCCTGATCAAGGAAGGTAAGAGTTTTAGCCCTCGCAATGTTCCTCGTATTTTGGCTGCATGCTTGTTTTCCTGTGACCTCGATCGGTCGGCAAGGCGTAGCCTTGTAGGCAACTGTAATGAGCAGCACCGCGTCCTTACGAGTGCTCTAGATCTCGAAGAAATTTCAGAGCCAGCTATTGCTGTAGAATTAACCTATTCCCCTATCTATGATGTGCACGTTGTGAGGATAAGTGCCCCTTTATTACGCCCCAAAAGAAAGGGAGAGGGGAATGTACGATAGTTTCCTCTAGAAATTGAGATCTTATCTCTAGATCTAGATTCTAGATCCTAGAAGAGAATCGATTGTTTGTGTACATTATGTAGCCACTTCGTTGAAGAAATTGGTTTTTATTGTTCTAAATGGTTGACTTATTGTTGGTCTGGCTTTGGGATAGAGGGATGAGCGCTAGATTTCTAGATCTAGTCGAGACTGGCCAATATCGCCTTGTCGACTAAAAGTGAGAGGACTTCTGTGACGAACGAGCGACCAATATGAGTACGAGACACAGTATGGGTAGGGGTAGGATGTGGGTTAGAGTTAGGGTTAGTTAGAGCTCTTCTTTGTCTTTATTGTGTTTGTTGGGGTGGTCACTCGTTACGGAAGTCCTTCCAGGAGCCCAATGACCCAATGCAATGACCAATAATTATTATGGATTTATATAATAAGCCAACACCATAGCCTACTTTCTAAGATTCAACAAGGGATGTAACAAAAGTTTCTTAGTGTAATAATGTTGGAAGGACTTCCGTAACGAGCGACCACCCCAACTAACACAATAAAGAAGAGACCTGACCCTACCCCTAACCTAAATCTAAACCCTTCCTCTACCCCCTATCCCCTACCCTTACCCCTAGATCTATCCCCTTCCCCTCTGTTCTATTCTGTCTCATACTCATAGTCATAGTGATAGTGGTTGCTCGTTACGGAAGTCCTCCCATTATAATGTCGATCAGTTTTTACCATAAAATGAAGTAGTTGGCCAACAAAATACAATAGCAGCCTGAGCTGTGTCTTTTGCTGCTGGGGTTTTTCAGTTATACTTTTTTCTGTTTTTTGTTTTTGAAGTGACTATTTCTCCGAACGAAGTGTATACAGACCCGGTAACCGGGAACAAAGTCACAAAGTATACAGACCCGGAAGGGGAACTCTTTTGTGATTTCGGAAAGTTTCAGCGCCCAGACCCGGTAGTGTGTGTGTGTGTGTGTGTGTGTGTGTGAGAGAGAGAGAGAGAGAGAGAGAGAGGTGCTAGCAAAATGTAATGACATGCCCCAGTTGGCAGGAGGGAACGAGAGAAAGATAAAGTATAGAGTGTGAAATAGGTCGTGACAAAGAAAGAGAGACAAAGAAAAAGAGAAGGCGAGCGATACACACACAAACACACACAGAGAGAGGGAGGGGGGGTGACTGCTCGATTGAAATATGACATTGTTCTTTTCTTCAAATTGCGTCTTGCGATTCTTCCAACTTCAAAATGGAGGTAAAACGATCGTTCATCGAAAAGACATCCGCAATCTTCATTTTGATTTAGGCTAGCCGCGAAACTAGATCAAAGATTTATGTCTGTCTGCCTAGATCTTGACTTAGGCCACAGATCTAGAAGAACCTCGATCTAGGTCTACCCTGAGCACACTAAGTGTAGAATTCTGTGACCCTGAGCCAAGAGGGCGCAGAAACTCCGAAATCACAAAAGAGTTCCCGTACCGGGTCTGTATACACTCCCTTCTCCGAACTTGGGAAAAGAAACCTGATCTCTTTTTTACTCATGCACCTGTCTCATGTACACATTTTATATACTTTTTGTCTAGTAGTATTTTGCTTGCTGAACACGAATATGTATGGCCTTCGTTTTTGCCACAAATCAATAGTTATTGAGTTATATTGGTGTTTGAAAATAATATTTGACTTAATTTTAACATGAGGGGTTTAACTCTTTTTATCTGGGCTACGAGAATACTCGTAACAAGGACCAGCCTGGGCTACGAGTATTCCCGGAACAGCGATACGGTCATGTCAAAGAAGCTAGTTCTGCTTGTAATTACCAAAATACGCAAATACGGCGATGCTAGCTCTGTCTGAATATTTTAAGGCCAATTTTCCAATGAACAGTGGTTTCTTTGTTTTTGATGGGTGTAGAAGCTTGAAAGATGTCTCGAAAATGCACATTAACGACCGACAAAGTACGTTTTGAAGTGGCGCTGGGTTGTGAGGGGGAATGAAATTCAATGATACTAATTTGATGACTTTGACTCTGAAATAAGTGCCGTAAATTCTGTTGTGGATGATAAAGAACAGGACTTAGACTCATCTAATAGCGATTCAGATCATGGTGAAGGGGTCAGTACTGGAATTCGTGCTAGATAGGTAGGGTTAGATCTAGATTATAAAATCCAATGGGACGTCGTGGGCGCGGCAATCAGGGTCAAGTTCGAGGGTGGAATACACCTCAAAATCTACATTGTGCTATTGGTGTAATTTCCTAACCACATGCATTTACAAAAATTACATTCAATTTCTAACATAACTGCCAAATTTCCTTAAACGAAGTGTATACAGACCCCAGACCCGGTAGTGTGTGTGTGTGTGCATGTGTGTGTGTCAGAGAAAGAGAGAGGGAGAGAGAGAGAGAGCAGGGGGAAGTGCTAGCAAAATGTATATATGACATGCCCCCGTTGGCAGGAGGGAACAAGAGAAAGATAGAATGGGAAATAGGTGGGGAGAAAGACAGACAGAGACAAACAAAGAAAAAGAGAATGCGAGCAATACACAGAGAGAGAGAGAGACAAAGAGAGAGAGAGAGCAGGGGGAAGTGGTAGCAAAATGTATGACATGCCCCCGTTGGCAGGAGGGAACAAGAGAAAGATAGAATGGGAAATAGGTGGGGAGAAAGAAAGACAGAGACAAACAAAGAAAAAGAGAATGCGAGTGATACACAGAGACAGAAGAGAGGGAGAGTGGGGGGGGGGGGGGGGGGGGGAGAGAAATAGAGAGGGGGAGTGCCCCATTGAAAATATGACATTGTTCTTTTCTTCAAATTGTGATTCCTCCAACTCCAAAACGGAAGAAAAATGATCGTTCATCGAAAAGACATCCGCAATCTTCATTTAGATCTAGATCTAGATCTAGGCTAGCCTCGAAACTAGACCAATAATTTATGTCTGTCTGTCTAGATCTAGACCTAGGCCATAGATCTAGAAGAGCCTTGGTAGTGTACATCTATGGTCTACCCTGAGCCAAGAGGGCGCTGAAACTTTACGAAATCACAAAAGAGTTCCCCTTCCGGGTCTTTATACTTTGTGACTTTGTTCCCAGTTACCGGGTCTGTATACACTCCCTTTCTTAAAACCTTGGAGTAAATGTAAGAAATATAGCACTTTGAACTATACGCACTGACTTCCGACTCATACGGCGCGGCAGGCCCAGGACTTGTACAGAGTCCGTGGGGGTACGGCAAGGATAAAAAGAGTTAAGGGGGTATGCCCCCCTGACCTAAAAAGAATCTGGGGGGTTTCAGGGGGGCATGCCCCCCTGCGTTTCACAATAATTTGATGTTTGGCTATTAGGATTGATATTTACTTGAAAACAATTGATTTGCAAGGGTTGTAGTGGCCATACGTGTGTTCTACGGAAAAAATTATGGCAGTTTAGCTCTCAAATCAATGCATCTGTGTGTGGGTGCATAAGTAAAATTGACAAGCATTTTTTGCTTTGAATTCAATTTTTAGAGCTAGAGATTTTTAGTTGTCTGAATATTCAGATTCTTCAATTGTGGTTGGGGCAACGTTCCCGTACTATACTTCATTTGAAAATACCTTTAAAAGGTACTGCGAGAAAACAAGACTTTGGCCTTGGCAGTAACCTATTTTGCACTTAGTCACCTCTAAAGCAAAGACTGTAAAAAAAAATCCCACCATGCCCCCGCCCCCATTTTACACACACAAACACACTCACAATCATGGGCCACTCCATTCGCTAATAACCAGAAAATCTCGAGAACAGAAGCCGTTCGGAGAAATAGAGATCAGGTTTATTTTCCCCGAGCGTTCAGAGAAAGAGCCGGCCTTTGGGGGGGGGGGGGGGGGCGCGGGGACTTTTTTTTTTTTTTTCTCTAATTTAGCTGAACCCCAAAAGTTGCCTTCTGAATTTTGGGGGATCGGCTGCTTTCCTAAACTCAGGGAATCCCCCCCAATTTCCACCATGGAAATGAGTTGCATGTCTTTTTATATATCAGGGACAATAGTTTTTTCGGTCCGGGGTGTCTACGTACACGGTAACTGAAAGGTCCTCCCTCATTCTTCATAGAAGTATCGTGTTGTGTGTGCACTGTGCGAACTCTGACATTCTCCTATGTGCGCATTGTTGTGTGAGGCCACGTTTGACAATTGCCATTTCAGCTGCCTTTGTTTCTCTAATCAAGTTCATAGTCATAGACACCTTGTAGATCTAGATGCACGAGACTTTGCCGGAGTCCCCTTTTTTCTATGTAAACTTAATTACTTATGCATGGGTTCGGCGGGGCAAGGAAAGGCCTGAACTTGGATGCAGCGGGAGAGATCAAGCGAGCTGTATCTGGGGGAAGGGGGTTGGGCGATGGGGGGGCTGTAAGTGGACTTCAAACAGTAGGCAGTCAGCGTTGTGGCGTTGTGATTGGCCAGTCCAGTGATGAGTGGAGGGGAGGGGAGCAGTTACTGTGCACCTAGCTCAAGGGGCCCCCCAAAATTAAGTACCTGGTTACCGTGTACGTAGATACTCCCTTTTCGGTTAGTAGCCTTTCCAATGTTTTTTAGTTTAATTTAAAAAAATTTTAGGATAAGTTTTTAAAAGTTTATAAGTAATAGGTGATTGGAAATCATGGAAATGAGATGTCTCATGATAGTCTCAGTAGCGTCAGTGTGACCCTTCGCCATAGTTTATTTGGGAGGAGTTCCACATAGGGCCGACACTTACTGTGACAAGGTGCACTGAGCAACTGTACAAGAGTTAAGGTTAGGGGTAAGGTAAGGGTATACCTCGCTCAAAATATCCCTTCTTTTGTGTTGTTTGTCGGCAGGCCCTCTGCTGAACTCCTTCGGTTTATTTATATTCTTTAATTTGATAGATTCAATTGATTTATTTAGTCAAAGAATATCTCTCTGCAGGCCAGTGTTGTTGAACTCTTTGGTCTCCTACTCAATACTCCATGGCATGGTAGTGTGACACGCGGTTTTTTGACATGACGCTACAGCGAGCACCTAGCACACCTGTGATTGGCTCAAATATAGATGATTTCCGCCATTTATTAAAAAAAATTTATTTGCGACAGTTTTAGTGTCCGCATGTTTGATCTGCAGCAAAAAACACTGCAATTTATTATTTGTTGAACCCAAAGCACTGCATCTGTGTGCGGGAGTGAAAGTAAAGATTTTCCCAATTTGTGGGGTTTTTTTTACTTTAAAGTTCGTTTTTATTAGCTTCAGTGTATCTTGTCAGGTATGTTTACTTTCCATGGGCACATTGTGCTTCTTGTGTGTATTTTTCAATTGTCAGGAATATGTCATTTTTCTCCTCAGGACTGTCAATCAATTGCTACCAGTGCAATTCATATGAGGACAAAAGGTGCAACAATCCAGAGGGTATTGCCGAGTTTCAAGTCACATGCTCATCAAATGAGACAATGTGCAGAAAAATTGAACAAGAAAGTGAGTATTGTAATGTGTGACGGAGTGTGTATTCAAGTTTTTAGTATTCCTTTTTGGGAAGGAATTCTTTAAAGAGCGAGCATTATGAACCAGTAGAATAGAGGGTTAGATGTAGTGGTAGGGTTAAGGGTTGGGTCTCTTTTATTATATTTGTTGGGGTGGTCGCTCATCATGAAAGTCCATCGCCCCTCGGTTTTTATTGGGCACAAACCCAACGTATTATTTGTGCACAACAGTGCAAGATGAAATGTCTCACAACGCGGTGGAATCAGGTGCTTCTCAATTTTTGGGCATGTGGAGTTATTGATATCATCTGAAAGCAAATTTATTTGCCTTGCTTCCAGTGAAATAAATATTTTATCTATCTTAAATAAAACTCAAGATATTTGCGGTTGAAGGAAGTGAGGTCGCCTGGTTTCAGTGATGAAATTAGCCAGAAACTTGCCGCCAACGTTTGGTAAATCCAATATATCTAAATACTCACATTATCCGTCCTCTTGTAGGCCTACCTCTAGGGCGTCGAGGGGAGAAAGAGCTTCCTGTCTCAAGCAAGTTTGATGGCCTAGCTGGGTGGGATATTGTATGTTCTCAGGGTATCTTTCGCACCCTGGTTCCAGGTCTTTCTTGGTTTTCCTTTTACCTTGTACCCTGATACTTTCCTGTAGTAGGCTTTACTGGCAAGCTGGTTAGGTGCCATATGTGTGAGATGTCCCAACTACCTGATTGTTTGCCTTCTAATGTAGTGGAGGAGAGGTGTCGTGTCCACCAATTCTCTGATCTTGTTGTTTCTGACCATGTCCTGTCTGGTTTTGTTGAGGGCTCTCCTTTGAGTAGACACCTCATCTCGCAGGTGGTTATCTTACGTTCCAGACTTTTGGTCAGGGTCCATATCCGGCACTGGTAGGTCAAGGTGGGGATGAAGATAGAGAATGAACTTGGCTTTGGTCTCAATGAGGATGTTTGAGGAGTGGGGCAAGCTGGTAGCTGACGCTGTTAGCCTTTTGTACTCCCTTCTCAATTTCTCTGTTGAGACGTCCGTCTTCCGAAAAGATGCTACCTCTACGCGGGTGGTTGGCGGGTGCTCTGGTGTGGTCTACTTCTTCTTTCCTATCAAACATCTATCGTCCTTATCTCCCCTTCTTCTTTTTTATGTTTGTTACTCTTTTGTAACGCCTCTAATCTTCTGGCGCTCATATGACCTTATGCAGTTGCGAGCGCCTTAAAACTTCTACTAAAACAAAACAAACAAACCTTCTACTGTAAAAATAAAAAGATGCTACCAAGATACTTGAGCGCGCTGACTTGTTTCAGCGGATTTCTGTTGATGGTGATGTTAAGGTTGCCAGGTGTTCTGCTGATTTTCATCGTCTCCGTTTTACTTTTACTGATCTTCATGTTGACCTTTTCACATTGTGTATTCAGCCTGTCTGTGTGCTCTTGAAGTTGCTCTTCTTTCTCATATGCCAGGCTTTGATCGTCCGCAAACATCTTCATTCAGGTGTATCGGGTTGGGGTTTGCTTCTTTTATAATTTTGTCCATGTATATAATATTATGAATAGTAGCGGTGATAACACACACCCTTGTCTCACTCCAGATGATACGTCGAACCAGTCAGTGAGTCCGTTTTAGGTGCGGACTGGGCTCATATTGTTGGTATAGATTGCTCTGATGTTGTCCAGCAGTTGTCCCATAATGCTGAACTCAAGTGTTTGCCACAGTTTGTTTCTATCGACTCTATCAAACGGTTTTTCCTGGTCTACAAACACAAGATTCAGTTTTTTGTTGTATGACATTGTCCTTTCACTTAGGTGTCTAAGAGCGAAGATAGCCTGTGTGCACCCTCTCCCTTTTCTGAAGCCCATCTGCGCCTCACTCAGTAATGGTTCCACCTTGTGCCTTGTACGCTGTTCCAAGATCTTTGCGTACAGGTTGAACCAAAAAATATAAATTTGATAAAAATTTCCAAACTGGCAGAAAAATGCGTTTCTCCAATTTCTGTATCTTGACGAGCGCCTGATTTCACCACGCTGCCTCACAAATGATGGCAATGCGAAAGGTCAGAACAGGCATGTTACATTGTGCAAGCTGTTTTATCCAAAATCAAATGTCCCCTTATTCACAGTCAGTAGCCTATATGGTTGCACCTAAATTAGAGTGAAAGTGTTTGAACCACTGCGTAGAAAAAAACAGATGACTTTAATTTGGATGTTTTAACACTTGGTTCTTAAGCAATGACCTCTATAGGTCTTGAAATGAGCATTGAGTCGGTGCAAAAGAAATTTCTTGCCTTTAGTAATTACCAATAAAAAAGATAGTCTCTGCAATTAAGTAAGGAGTTTGGCTTCATTTGAACTGTAAAATTTTGTAGTCGTGCCTTTAGTGGAGGTAAAGGGATATATACAATGTTTATTGTGTCCTTGTTTAATCTTTAGTTCCTGTAAACTTAATGTGTTGTTGGGTATACAATTGATTTTTAAATTAAGATAAGTTTTTGAAGGATGCCCTGCACATGTTTTGTCCTAGTCTTGCTCTTTGTGGGATTCTGTTGGTCTGTGTCTTTAACTGATAGATCTTGGTTCTCCACTGTCTATAATGTTTTGTCTTGTTTTCAGTTAACATCGGGGGTGATGACGTGACAAGAACTCACCGTCAGTGTGCCACACGTGGATCTCCAGGGGAAGACTGTCTGGAGCGTACTGGCACCTACAGGTTCAAATCATGGTACTGCGAGTGCAATAACAAGGACTACTGCAATAGCGCCAGCACCATGTCCCAGTCCTTAGTTCTGTCCGCTATGGCAGTGTTTTCACTGTTTGTCTTGAGAAAACTGTTGTGAAGTATGGTTTAGGTTTTTAAATGTTTCGCTTGGAAGAAACTGTTTGGGGTTTTCTTCAGTAGCTTTCATCTTTACTTTTGGACTTTTATTTTTCAAATGTATAAAAACAACAAAAAACTTGTGTTGCTGCCTATGAATCTGGGGTGTCTCTAACACTAAACTTCATGTGACCAGATAAATATGGCTAGGATGACTTACTCAAGAATGAGACTTTTGACATTTGATAGTCTTTGAAGCGTGGAATATGTCATGCATGCTATTTTCGTCAAGGCCAGCGATCCATCCATCCTATTTGTCTATTGAGTTATTAGAATCTCTTAGGGTTCTTCCCCTTCTCCACTCAACACCTTATCTATCTTTATAACTGAAATATCAACCCCCAGATGTGTCCTGGTTCTTTCTGTCTACTTGTGATGATTGTAAAACATTCCCAGAACACCGTCATTAACTCTTTCGGTCAGAACCCAACCCAAGTCGATTGAATTTATGTTTACATGTTGTATGGTTGCTGTAGTTTAAGGAGTAAGCTGTCCGCACTCACACTCTAGGTGCACTGTTCTTAGGGTCTCAGTCGTCACATAACTCCGTAGAACACAATTTTGCTTCTTTTTAAAACCAATTTATGCACTATCCTCCTGAAATTCGTAGTAATAGCAATAGGCATCTCTTTGAATACTCTTACTCTGCAGGTGTATAGTCTTGCTTTGTTATGTAATTGTAATGGCTTAGAGAGCAGTGTGTCGGTGGGAGGGAGGGTGTTACTGTCGATACTCTTATGCAAGAATGCGTGATAGTCACGTACTGTTTCTGTGGCTGTGACCAGGCTTGGTCTGCGTATTACAATGAATTTATGAGTGGACATTGATTGTTTCGTTGTGATACGGCACAATATTTTGTTCGTGTTAGTTTGTATAACCTCAGTGAATTTGTTCATGGGCGATATTTGCTGTTTACTTGTCATTGCAACACGATATTTTGTTTGTGTTAGTGTGAACCTCAGGTGGTATCACCAACCCCAAGTTTGTTTGACCAAGATCTTTACGCATGATGCTGTCACAGAATCACTCTCATCTCTTTAATTGCTCATTTTAGGAGAAAAAAAATTGTATGTTCACTTTTTTGTCTGAGTTTCCTTGAGTCAAGTTTTTACATAATTATTCAAGATGTCACAGATTTCACCTCATTGTTCACATTTCAAAATCATGATGTATGAGTTTTAAGCTGTGGATGGCTGAGAGTGAGTGTCTGAGTGCGGAATGACCCTGGGGTCTTGTTGTGATTTCTGGCCGGTCATGTACTTACTTCTATTGCATTTAATTCGCAGATACAATAGATAAGATAAAGACTGGACCAATTGCTTTTCGGTTAAAATTCTCACTCCTTTTCTTGTTGTGTCATAATGCACAAATTTGACCATTGCAAAGACTAATCATGTAAATTTTCTTTCCCCTCTTTATAATTGATTCATGTTATTGGTGTTAGAAAATCTCAATATTTTATTATTATATGGCGTGCCTGTGGTGTGGAGGACTTGTTTCGACAGTACTCGTCAAATGTTGTTTTCACATTCAATTGTGAGATGGTCAACATATACCACAAGGAGAAAATGATGTGATTGTGACATTGGTGTTGATTTTAAAAGTTGAGGCTCATGCTTCACCTTATGCCCAATCAAATTCTTTTTCTTTTTAGTAGCATGATGTTTGAATGATGTCAAATCACAGCAATAAGTGTTCTTTCACCTATTTTTCCCCTTCTTTTACCACCTGTTAGTTCAGAGACTGCCATTTACTCATTTACAGATTTCTATTGTATAATGTGCATTCATGGAAAATAATTGATATGTAAATCAAGATTCAATTCTATGTTCCCCAAATCAAATTATTTTAGCCTTTTGGTTTTTAAAAAATTGGTGCACAGATACTTTAAAAACATTAATTTATTTGGAAGATCACATACATCTTCCCTTTTCTGTGAACAAGATCTCTTCTCTGGAAAGGGATTTTTAGTATAGTTATGATTGTTTCAATCATTTACAAAGGTCAGAGTGTAGTTTTAGCCAGAGTGGCTCTTGCTGTCATTACAGCAGTAATATCAGAAACTTTTTAGCTCTCTTGTTCAGTTCATGCCCTCTGTCACTCTGACCATTAGCTAGTGGCTTTTATCAATGGACAAGTCCCACCTCTGATATGACTTACTGCATTTTGATTGCAAAAGAATTTACTTGAATTGGCAATGGCTCAAACTTTTTTTTTTTTTTTCATTTCCACGCTGGAAAAACAAGTATTTTGAAACTCGTATTAAGATTCAGTTTACAGTGCATTTTGGATTGAGTGAAAGAAAGCGCTTGTTAGGTTTTTATATATATGTAATGTATGTAATACAAGTTACCAAAATAAACAGGATTTTAAGTTTTTAATCAAAAGAAATGTGTTTGAATTTCTGTGTACGACATGCATGTTGATGTATAAATGGATAGTCTTCATTATCTAGTTATTCTAATGGGCCCTACAGTTGTGGTATCTTATGACACTGGCAGGTTGCTTACCGGTACCTTTATTGTGGTCTCTGAGACAAGGCCTTTGAGTTTGATCAACAAAGATGGAGGAGAATCATTTGTCCAGAGGTAAAATGTTTGCGTCTCATGCCAAAGTAACAACTTCGAATCCCTCTTTGTGCAGGGTCTAGCCTTGGGTTTTTGCAGAAAAGATTAATACAGTGGAACTCGGATTCAGCGAGGTTGCCGGGCCTGACCTGACCGTATAGCAAACACGAGGTTTTGTGTAGATAATTACAGGCACTGAGCAAGTAATGTTTAAAGAGAAGTCACAAGTAGTGCCTGAAATGCCTGCATATTATGAGCTGTGTAAAAAAAGACCGATTCGTTCAAATGCAGACGCATGTGTCATCTCGATTGTATACCGAAAAGTTGTGTTGCAGTGTAGAGCCCAGCATGAGGCAACTTTTGATTCCATAGACCAGCGCACAATTCATTACGTAAATCTACGTCAAGACCAGCTTATCATTGTAATAATGATCAGTTGGTGGGGGGGGGATTGCCGCGTTTGTTTGTAGCCTATCTGTGACGTTCAACGCCCAGACCGCTAGTTGAATCCGTGTTATTTTTATGGGTTGAATTTAAAGAAGAAAAAAAAGGGGGAATCTATCTCATCTCGTTGAATCCAAGCTCGTTGAATCAAGTTCCACTGTAGGTCTTGCATGCAGAAAGAGAACGTCTTGACAGCTTTATAGTCATACTCACACAGGACACCTTGGTTTATTTGACAGAAAGGGACTACCATTTTTTCAGATAGTAAGATATTTAATTTGACAATGCTTTTGGTAATTTCTCATTTATTTATCTCTGCCATGTCACAAACTAACAAACTTTACAGTTTTCAGATGGTGAAATATTGGGGGTCTAGTGGTTAGATTAGTTTTGGTAAGAGTGACGAATTATTGGGGGTCTAGTGGTTAGATTAGTTTTGGTAAGAGTGACGAATTATTGGGGGTCTAGTGGTTAGATTAGTTTTGGTAAGAGTGACGAAATATTGGGGGTCTAGTGGTTAGATTAGTTTTGGTAAGACTTTTACAGCACTTGCAACTCAAATCAGTCATAGATTTATACGTAAGTGCCAACAATTGGAGGTATTACAAGAATAAGTTAATAACAAACACACAAAAAAGATGGGGAGATAAGGATGATAGATGTTGGCTAGAAAAAAAGGAACAAACCACACCAGAGCACCCGCCAACCAACCTTGGTCTAGTGGTTAGGCTTTCTTGCTCACGACCAAAAGGTTATGGGTTCGAATCCTGTGAGGGGGCCTGATAGTGATATGGTCTTTACCAAAGGCATTTTGCAGTAGGCCCTACACAGGCAGAAATGGGTAGGCTACCCAAAGACAGCAAAAGATCTTGTTAGTTTGTTATATAATGCTTGAACTTGAACCCTTTATCAGCTTTCTGCACTGTATGCTTTCTGGGAAGATGAGACTGTTTCTGGGTTCTAGTTCTATAGCCTGTTGGGGGAATAATGATAATAATAGTTGCAAAGCGCACAGACTACCGGTATATTATGCTGTAGAGCAGGCATGGACAAACTGCACACAGCCCACGAGCAATTTCTTCAGTCCGACCTGCGAGTCAACCCAGTAATGTTAATTTATAAAGGGGGG